TTTAAATGAAGCTTCTTAAATGTTTTAAAAACCTTACTTACTTTACATACAATAGTTTAGTTATATAATATAGACTTATAGAGAGAGACCTTCCAAAAACATTAAAACGTACTACTGGCATGCGAAACCTTAAATCAGAGTGAATAAATGAGGACTTGGCACACCACTTCTGAAAGGTTGCCGACCCCTGATCTACGGCCTTAGGTGTGTGGGGGTTTGTCCTGCCCTAGCAGCCTCCCGCCTCCCACACGCGGCAGGAGCAGATTCCCTCTCTCCATATAGCTTCTCTCATGGCAAAGGTAGGGGGAGGTGTAGACTGAGGGCCTGTCTGTCCTGGGGCAGGAGTGTGGATGTCTGTCGGGGAGAGGGAGTTTCCCTGAGCTGGATAGGATGGGAGGCAGGGTAGGTAGAGTGGGTTTGTCTACCCTAGTGCAGGGGCTGAGAGGGACTGGTAGGGAGCTGGGTGGGAGGGGATATTTTTCTGGTGCAGGAGTGAGATGTGTGCTCTGGCAATGGTTAATAGAAGGGTGGGATATCGGCTCCCACCAGCTTCCCCCATCACTTACGAGCCCCCATGGTGCAGACTCTTTCTTCCCTCCCTGGGGGATCTGCACCTGAAAGTCTGCATAGGTGTGTATAAGGGGATTGGCTATCTGCAAGCCTTTGACAAGGTCTTTCACTAAAGCCTGTTAAGCAAAGTAAGCTGTCATGGGATAAGAGGGAAGGTCCTCTCATGGATCAGTAATAAAAGACAGGAAACAAAGAGTATAAATAAATGGTCAGTTTTCACAGTGGAAAGTGGTAAATAGCAAAGTCACTCACAGATCTGTACTGGGACCAGTGCTGTTCAACATATTAATAAATGATCTGGAAAAAGGGGTAAAGAGTGATGTGGCAAAGTTGCAGACCATACCTAATTGCTCAAGCTCATTAAGTCCAAAGCTGACTGCAAAGAGTTACAAAAGGATCTCACAAAACTGGGTGACTGGGCAACAAAATGGGAGATGAGATTCAATGTTGATAAATGCAAAGTCATGGACATTGGAAAACATAATCCCAACTATCTATATAAAATGATGGGGTCTGAATTAGCTGTTACCACTCTAGAAACAGAGCGTGGAGTCATCATGAATAGTTCTCTGAAAATATCTGCTCAATGTGCAGTGGTAGTCAAAAAAGTGAACAGAATGTTAGGAACCCTTTGGAAAGGGATAGATAATATCATCATGCCCCTTTATAAATCCACTATATAAGCCCCCTTGAATATAGGATGCAGTTCTGCTCGCCTCATCTCAAAAAAAAATTAGGAAAAGTACAGGGAAGGGTAACAAAAATTTTTAGGGGCATGGATCGATTAAAAAAAATGGGACTGTTCATCTTAGAAAAGAGACAACTAAGTGGGGGAAAAGTGAATAGGAAGTGTTATTTACCTCTGCACGCAACACAAGAAATAGGCAGCAGGTAAACAAACATAAGGAAGTACTTCTTCACACAACACACAGTCAAGCTGTGGAACTCATTGCAAGGGGATGTTGTGAAGGGCAAAAGTATAACTGGGTTTTAAGAAGAATTAAATAAATTCCTTGAGGATAGGCCCATCAGTGGCTGTTAGCTATGATTGTTAAGGACGTAAACCCATGCTCTGGATCAGGGCCAGCTCTAGGATTTTTGCCTCCCCAAGCTGAAACAATTTTGGCCGCCCCCCCCCCCCGGTTTTTTTCTTACCCCACCCCCGGCCCTGCCTCAGCTCCGCCCTGTCCCCAAATCCCCAGCCCTGCCTCCTCCCCCCCAGGCTCTCAAACCTGGGAGGGAGGGGGAGCAGCGGCGCGCAAATCAGCTGTTTCTTGCGGGATCTCCCCCTCCCTCCCAGGTTTGAGAGCCTGGGAGGGAGGGCGAGCAGCGGCGTGCGAGCGGCAGCAGCGGAGGTGAGTTAGGGTGGCCGGGGCACATTTTTAGGGGTGGCAGGGGCGGCATTCTGGCGCCGGCCATGCCGCCCCTAAAAATGTGCCGCCCCAAGCACCAGCTTGTTTTGCTGGTGCCTAGAGCCGGCCCTGCTCTGGATGTTGCTAAACCTCTGACTGCCAGATGGGACTGGACGATAGGGGATGGATCACTTGATAATTATCTGGTTCTGTTCATTCCCTCTGAAGCATCTGGCAATGGCCACTGTTGGAAGACAGGATACTGGGCTAGTTGGACCTTTGGTCTGACCCAGTATGGCTGTTCTTATGTTACAAAGGTGTGGTAGTGTCAGGGTAATGTTTGCTGAGGAAGAGGGGAGGGGTCATAGTGGGGATTTCTGTCCTGGGCCTCCGATGCATCTTTACTACAGGCAATGGGGCAGTTGCCCCCTGATCATGGTTTGCCCCACATCCCAAAATTTTCATAGGTTTTTATGTTCCATTACATCTTCTACTTTTTACATTTCCTTCCCCCACCACTTCAGATTTTTCAGGATATAATATAATCACATAGAATATTCTATAGGCGGACACAGCTTTGCCACTTCCCCCAATTTTTCTGAAATGAGCCTGCCCTCCCAGCAGGGGACTATCTGGGGGGTAGGGGGCTGTCTGAGCTAGTGCAGGTGGGAGCCATCCCAAGGCAGAGGGTATAGGGGGAGGCTCTCTGCTCAGGGGGGTAGGAGCTGTAGAGGGAGGCTCTATGCCTGGTGGGGTCAGGGGGTAAGAGCATAAGAACAGTCCGACTGCGTCAGACCAAAGGTCCATCCAGCCCAGTATCCTGTCTTCCGACAGTGGCCAGTGCCAGGTGCCCCAGAGGGAATGAACAGAACAGGGCAATTATTGAATGATGCATCCCCTGCGGCCCACTAGGACCTGTAGGGGACTCTGCCTGATAGGGCCATAGAAGGGGCTCTGCCTGGTGGGTCTAGGGGGCTCTGGGGCTGTGTGTGTGGGGGCTCTCTGCCTGTTGAGGATTTGGGCCATAGAGGGTCTTTCAGCCTGTGGGAGGGGAGTACTGGCCCTCTGCCAGGGGAGAGAGGGGCAGTTGGGGGGGGGGGTCTCTCTGTCTGTAGGGCTAGGGACCATGTGTATGTGGGGGGGACTTTTTGCCCAGGGGGAGGGGCTGTGGGGTTCTCTGCCCGTGGGGGGAGGAGTTCTCTGGATAGGGGCTGTGGAAGGGGACTGAGGGCTGTCTGACTGTGGGGGCAGGGGTTGTGGGAGGGGGGGGGCTCAGCCCGGGGAGGCAGCAGGCAGGGGATGTGGGCGGGGGGGCTCTGTCCCGGAGGGGCGGGGCATGTGGGGGGAGGGGGCCTGTGGGGATGCCCTGTTCATTGCCTCCAATCCCCCTCTCCCACCAACCCAATCTCTGTGGTCACTTTGCAGCTTGATTTAGGCTTCTTGTGTTTGCATCCCCTCCAATTTTGATGCCATGTACACATTTAATCACAA